TGATCTGACAGCTTGTATCTTAAGCTTTCTTGGCTTCTGTGATTCCAAACACGTCAACTGCTGACATTTTTTTTTTCTTTTGACCAGTGTCTCTTTAGTTGTACTGTCACCAAGGGAAGGTAACGTGTCCTGTAGAACTCCTGTGTAGCTTGTTTTCCTTTCATGTTCTCCCGCCAGTCCCTCTGTGCACCTGAAAGATGCCTCTTTGCTATTTTCTGAGGTGACCCTCCCCAGTGCTCAGTTTCCCGGCTTCCCTTCCGCCCAGGAGCATGTTCTTCCGCCGGTTTTTCCTGGCTCCCTGAAAGATGCCTCTTTGCTATTATCCGAGGTGACCTTCCCCAGTGCGCAGCTTCCCTGAAAACACTGTGCTAAGTAACATGTGCCTTTCAATCACATAAGGGCAAATAACTATTACATGAAATAAGGAAATATGTAGAAATCCAAGATTTACGGTTCACGGCAGTGGAAAGACATTTTTGTGGGGGGTAAGGTAGGGGCCCTGAACGTATGTTAATGGTAAACATTTACAGGATGCACACCAGGTGCCACACTCTAAAAAGCCATCTATGACTTTAAAAAAACCGAATTGTTTTCATTCTAGTTAGGCAAGTACAACTTCTTGGTTCGTCTACAAAAAAGAAAAATATTGCTCTTACAAGGTGATTGCAAGAATTAAAAGAATTTATGTAAAGTGCTTGAACACAGTCTAGTGTTCACTAGAGAGCTCACCTCTGAAGTCATCTGTATGTCTGGTGAATCCTTGAAAAACAAAAGGTATTTTGTTAAACTCTTAAGCACAGCCTCAGGATTTCGAGGACCATTCTAACACTACCACACTGAAATATTTTCAGGGATTATTTATCATGTATGATTTAAAATCCATAGGGAGGATTTTTAAAGAATAATTGCTAGAACTTTAGTTGGGTAAAACTAATTCCATTTTAGGGAATTTTTTTGAGCTACACAATAGTCATCACTGAGATGAATACTGGACCAATAGAAAGTATCACGACAGATGGAAAAAAGACAAACTATCAATGACTTCATCTTACTTGGATCCATAACCAATACACTTTTTTGGATCATAATCAATACACATTATATCAGCATCCGGAGACACACTGCACTGGAAAAGTGTTCAATCAAGGACAACTCCAAATTACTGGGGAGTAATTCATGTTAGTTTGAGGACTAAGATAACACCGGATTCAGGCAATGGTCTTTTTAATCACTTGCTATTTATCTGAGAGCTGGACAATGAATTAGGATTACAGAAGAAAAACGGATGCCTTTGAGTTGTAGTGTTGGAGGACAATAATGAATATAGCCCATGGACTGCAGGTATAGTCTTGGAGAAGGTGCAGCCAGAGTGCTCCTTGGAGGCAAAGATTATGAAGCTTAATCTCACAAACTTTGGGTAGATTGTTAGGAGAGGCTATTCCTTCGAAGACAACATGCTTGGGAAAGTGGAAGGATGGCAAAGGAAAGGAAGACCCTCAACCAGGTGATTAATACAGTGACTGCAGCAATGGGCTTGAGTGTGTCAGATTCTGAGAATGGCACAGGGTAAGACAGGGTTCACATGTGTTCTTAGGAAGATTGTGAGTCACACCTATCTCAATGGTACCTAACAACATCACTGAAAATTTCCAGCAGTGTGTATGCTGAGGTTAAAATTTTTCCCTTTATGAACATTCCAGAAAATGGGAGTCTTATTTAGTTTCAATCTTTTATTTAGCAAAAATACTTACATGATAGGGTTAAGATCAGTCAATGACAAAAGTTGGAGTCTAATAATTTCCAACAATCCTTTGAAACCACTTCTGACTTTTGCATTTTTAAGAAGCCACAAAAACCAAGGCAGAGAAGCCCTGAGAAATGATTATTAAACTTGTTACGTGCTATTAAGGCATACCTGATGCAGAGCTGACCCTCCAGCACGTTTTCAGAGATACGGGAGGAGGAGACTGCCCATTTTTCTCCCATGGAGCAGCTGGTGGATTTCAATCTCTTGTCTTTGAGCTGCTAGCATGGCTCTTTACCCCTAAACCACCAGAGCACTCAGTGTTTGAGTACTGTAAAAAGGACCACTCTTACAGAATTAATAACCTTATTTATTCTCAGTAAAAAACTCCAAAATATGGACAATTGCTATTAAAATATCTATCACAAAATAATCCACAATCTTAGACTGCTAATTTCAAGACAGACTGACAAAGTGCTATCTGTGCACAGACACACCTGCACATACCCAGAAGAAAAAGGCACAGTGCTGAAAAACTGTACTTAAATAATCTCTATTAGGTTTTTTTTAACTGACGTATTATTGTGTAAAACTCTAAAGCAAAAACCCCAGACTTCACTAAGAAAGTGGATCCTCCTCAAGATAGAAAATTTTTTACACAGCTGAACAGTGAATTTAATAATATATTTATACTGGCAGTAGGGTAGTCTATCTAAGCTTGTGAAATGCCCTAAAACAGAGGGTCAGAGCATCCAGCATCATCAGAGCAAACGGACTGTTTTTCCAGTCACTGTCAAGAAGTCGTCATCAGCCAAGGCATGCAGGGCTTCTTCAAACATTTCTTTGGTGATTGCCTTTGGGGAAAAAGACAATAAATACCAAACATGTAAAATTCTTTACTAACTGTTAAAAAAGAAAAGTAATGCTAAAGTACCATCTAGACTAATTTTCTCTCTTCAAAGGCTACATTAAACCAGGCAGCCGAAGAACACACAACTGAGCTTGTATTGCAAAGCACAACTAGAGGTGGTTCTTTCTGAAGAAGCCAACATTAATTAATCACAACTGGGCACTCTGCATATCTCAATCCCAAAGTAAATTCCTATGATAAATTTAAACTCACTGAGTGTTAGATATAGGGAGCAGTGATGGCATAGTGCTTAGGGATTTAAACCTCTCTGGCCATTTGAATCCACCAATGCTTCTGCAGGAAGAAGATAAACATAAACTTCCTCCTGCACAATTTGCTGCCTCTAAAACCCTGCTAAGCAGTTGTTTCCAGTGAGGCAATCAGTGACTGCCAAACTAGTTGTAGGTTCTGACTGACAGTAACACATATGTGGAGAACTGCTCAAGTGTTTTTTGATGGCTTATTATGGAAACAGATCACGAGGCCTTCTGCCAATGGGCCTGAGTGGACATGGACTTCCAAATCATTCAGCAGCTGACTTTGTTGACTGTTGCACCACTCAAGGATGAAGAGCCTTTAAAGTACATTCTGTCTTTTCACCTAATCATTATGAGCCTGCAGGGTATTTACCAGAGTAATTTTTTTTTTAAATCTCCCAATTGTCTCTGTCCCTTAAGACTATTTATAGAAAAACTTAGGAAAGGGCATGACCATCATGAATATTTTTATTCTTGTTTCTATGAAACAGTTAACAAAGAAAAGAAAAAATGAATTCCCAAAAGCTGTCATAAGGGAGTTCTACTGGCTTAGTGGTTACAAGTGGAGCTGCCATACAAAAGCACTTCAATCCACCAGCTGCTCTGCAGGAGAAAAATGGGCACTTTCCATGCAATTTACAGCTCTGAAAACCTGCTGGAGGGTCAGCTATGAGTGGGTTCCAACTCCAAAGTATACAACAAAAGCTGTATTAAAAAAATACTAAATACTCAAAAACACCACTTACTATGTCAGACTGTCCCCGAATATCTTCAAATAGTTGCTGGTATTTTAGCGCTGGTGTTTTGCCCTTAGACAAAATAAGTTTCTTCAAAGCTTCAGCTAATTCTTCTTTCCGTTTACGAGATGTGGCACTCATTCCTGATTACAAAAGAAAGTAATCAAAGTTTCAAATTTCCACAAATATCCCTTAATATGAGCTATTGTTTCTACTTTACCCTGGTTTTGAATATTCTTTCATATAATGTTAAGTAAGTGACTTCTTGGTTGCTCACCTAAGGCTGAAGCTACTTAAAGTGGAGACCTTAAGTCTAGAAACATAAATGTATAGTGGGTGGAGAACAAAATACAGTCAAAAGCACAATGAGTTCCAAATTGTTTTAGTTTTTAAATTATCTTTTTGTTTTCATGAAAGTTTACAGAAAACTTGGATTTCCATTCATTCACTGTTGCACATTTTACTCCCTACTCCAGAGTTCTGAATTTTTAGAATTTTCTACAAAACAGTAGCTGCTGTGCTCCATCTAAGCCCTATGGGTAGGAGTAATTTGCTTGTTAACAAAGGAATTTCTTCCTTAAGTACGATAACATGGGGTCAATAGATACATGAGGGGAAAGAATCCCTTTACAATGATAAAAATTGGGGTATTCTAGTGTATATTATTTTCAGGAGAAGATTCTCCAAGGTGACCAATGGAAAAAAGGTTAAGACCCTCTGTCCCATATGTATTAACCTTAGACTTAAATTTGAAGTACTAATTACTTTTACACTTCAATCTTCCTCATATACTTTTCTGTTTTATAGAACAACATACCTGTGGTAAGAATAGATATGTCCACAATGCCTGTCCGGGGGTCAGTGGCAGACTGCTTCAGGGCCTCCCGGTGAAGGCGCTTTGCTTCTTCAACATCAATTGCTTCGACTTTGTTTGAAAATCGCACTTTAGCATGGGCTTCTGCCAAGCGAATTAGTGATTCCAGCTGCCGAGGGTACGCGGAAACCATTCCTCGGCTACTACCAATTTTTCTCATGTCTACATAAGCCTAGTGGAGGCAGAACACACAAAAGCAAACCACTATGAAAATCGATCATTTTAGTTTTGTGGTTAAAGCTGTCAGCAGAATTAGAGCTAAACAAAAGTATCTCCTGCCCTCTCATAGTCATTCTGACTCACAGGCTGGTAATAGTCGGCCAGGGAGATATTTACAGAGATTTCTTGGAGAGAAAAGTGAAAAATCAAAGAGACCGGGAAGAAATGTGAGATGACAGACATGACTGAGTAAAGACAAAGTGTGCCTCTAAAAGCACTGTCATTCCTGAATGAGGATCGTCCCAATCAGATATCCAACTTATAGGGATAAAGTCACAAGCATAAGTGGTATTAAACTTCTACAGATGACATACTTGCTTTTTTTCCCCAGGAACAATCCCTTCTGGCAATGCAGCACTTTTCAAATAGTTAACATGCTCTGTTGCTAACTGAAAAGGTGAGGGTTCAAGACCAGGGAGAGGTGAAAAAAATGCCCCAAAACACTGAGTGGTTATCTTCTTTTGGGAGCATCCCTGTGAAAACCCTGTGGAGTAGACCTCTAGTCTAAAATATATGGTCTGTGTGAGTCAGTGTTGATCCAGGGCACTGGTTTTGAAAGCTCAGAAAACATTCTCACCACAATTCTGTATCCCAAATATCCAAGTAGGCACAGCAGGAGACTGAAGATGAAAATTAACTATTCAGAAACAAGCTAACAACAGTTCTGATTTATCCAGTTACAAAGGTGCTATGCAGTACCACCTGTATTTGATTAAGGGAAGTCTAATCTTAGGCTCTGGTTGTCTAGTACTAAGGAGCTACACTACCAACCCAAATGCAAGAGGTTCAAATCCACCAGCTGCTCCATGGGAGGAAGATAGGCAAACTCTTCCTATGATATTTACATGCAGCCTCTGAAAACCTGCTGGAAGATCAGCTATACTCAGTTCTAGCCCAATGGCACATGGCAACTGACAATCTTATAAGCACGTAAAACTATTTAAATAGAAAAAAATGTGTAAACATTTGGAAGCCAGATGCTACAGTGCATAAGGTGTCTAGCTACTAATCCAAAGGTCTTAATTTCAATTCTACAGAACAAAGATGGGCAGTCTCCTCCCATAAACTTATAGCTCTAGAAACCCAACAGAGGGTTGCTGTGAGTCAATTAGACAGCAGTGGGTTACAGAACTTTCACAAATGAGTTCTTGTTCACTCTGTTTGCGAGTCAATTTTTCATCACAGGAAGGAATAAAACAGTTTATATAAAACACTAAGTGAATTTCAACAAAGAAAGCTCTGTGGGAGAGATCAGCAGTGTTCGCCTTTAGACTCACGGCCTCAGAAACCTGATGTGAGATCATTACGAGCCTAAATTCATCTATTTGTGTGAATCTGCATTTTTCCTTTTTTCTTTGTTTAAAAATGATTCGATACTTGTGGCTCAGTGGTAAGGAACTGTTCTGTCACCCAAAGATAGGTAGTTTGAATCCATAAACTACTCCATAGGAGAAAGATGGGCAATCTCTAATCTCATCCCATGCCTGTGAAAACCTACTGACTGGATGGTACACAGCACAAAACCCTTTAATGTTAATTTACAGACCAACAATGCATTACCTCGATGAGGGCCTGGCCTGCTTCCTCGCTCAGCCGTGGTGTGACCATGCTGTGTGCATATGCAATGTAGTCTCGCAGCACTGCCATGTCCATGAACTCCTCCTCTGCCTGCTCCTCGCTCCGGTAGTACAGTGCCACCAAGTGGTGAGCCAGGCGCCGGTCATAGGCTTCGTCCTGCGGATCCAGCATGAGGAAGATCAAATCAAACCTGGAACAGGTGAACAAAACATCGTTCTCTTAGCTGGTCTGTCCAGCAGATAAACTTCTTTTCCCCACTCTCACCAGCAGAGGCCTGTCCTGACCAGCAGCTATCGAGGATTAGCACCTGCATCAAAAAAGGAAGTTCTGCCAGCAGAGGAATGCTACTATGGTTTAGAATCTGAATGAAGATGCATTATTTGGTTTTCATGGAAGAAAATAAAGTGCTATTCAGTAAAAAGCTAAATAATTAAAATGTAAAACAATTGCTTCATATACACATGAAAGCTGGAAAGGAAGACTAAAGAACTTACACTCTTGAATTGAATACACTTGCCACCAACTTTCAAAAGAGTAACACATCTGTCTAGGGAGAAATTAAGCCCCATGCTCCTCAGAGCGAGGATGGCTGAGACCTGGTCTCACAGACTTTGGATGTGTGACCACAGTACTTGAAAGGAGACAGCCTGGTTGCCAAGGTTGGAGAGAAGGAGCTGAAGGCCCTCAGCAAGATGGCCAACAAAGAACTACAAGAATGGGTTTACACAAAGCAAGGTGTGAGGCTGGTGCTGGACCAGGCAAGTCACGTTCTCTTGTACAGAAGGTGGCTGGCCACGAGGCAGAGCCATCCAACAGCACCTAAAAACAACCTTCTAGCAAAATTATCTCTTGGGAGAAGTTTTTTCTCTATATAGTGGTTTTGAGACTGAGTTGTGACAAGCATTTGGGAAAAAAATGTCAAAATGAAATCTCATTTTAAAAACAAAACATTCCCCCACCCAAAAAACTAAGGTATTATTTATTACCAGTGGTCAGAGACATAATTTTTGCCATTTTATATAAAGAGTATGAAATAGTAACAGGCATTGAATTTAAACAATGCTCCTCACACCCTCTACCAAGGTCTACAAATAAGTGAACTAGGAATACAACAACCAACAACAATCAGTTATAGAGAAAAGTTTTAATACCTTGACAACAATGTATGAGGGAGTTGGATATTTTCAATGGTGGTTTTTTGGGCATTCCATTGAGACTCAATAGGATTGGCTGCTGCTAGGATAGAAGTTCGTGCGTTGAGCTGACAAATGATCCCTGCCTGTCAAAGAAAATAGTATCATCTGAAGAGTGTAAGTGTGCTGAGGCAATGAGAATCATTCCTTCTTAGTCAGCTGTCACTGTAACAGCTTCCAACCAGAAAGACTTCACTCTCAATGTCTCCTTTAAGTGAAGAATTAGACTAAAGGGAACAAAGATCTGGCAGGATACCCGACTGGAGATTTTCAGCTTCCCCACAAGATCCTTTAAGAACATTGACATTCTTTTTTAAATTTTGTAAGGACTAAGTCAAAGGAATGATCAATGCATACTGTAATTTCAAGTTTTTCAGACTCCACAATGCTTGCTGGAATCTCAAGTAACTGTTACAGATACTACACATTAGTAGCCAGGATAGCAAGAAATACAGAAAAGGAACCTGAACAAAATACTCAAAATCTAATATAAGGTGTACTCTGAAACCTCCTGCAGTATGCATGTAGCTTACCTTTGCAATGGATAGCGTCTGTTGCTCCATCACTTCGTGCAGCACTGATCTTGTACTTTCATTCATCTTGTCAAACTCATCGATACAGCAGATGCCATTGTCACTGAGGACCAGTGCACCTGTCTGCAGGACCAGCTGCCTTGTCTCTGGGTCCTTCATCACATAAGCCGTGAGACCCACAGCGCTGGAGCCTTTCCCAGACGTGTACTGGCCCCGGGGCACCAGGTTGTAGACATACTGCAGCAGCTGGGACTTACTGGTCCCAGGGTCGCCACAGAGGAGGATGTTGATCTCAGCACGAAATTTGCCCCTTCCTGTGTGACTGAAATCCTTCCTGGTCCCCCCAAAGAGCTGAAGCAAAATTCCCTAGGAAGAAAATTCATCTCAGCATTCACCTCCCATAGAGAAACAGACTGAGTTTAATGAATAAAGAACTCTACAGAAAAACTAATGCGACCATTCTGAATGGCAAGGGGTGTAGGTTTATAATACATGATCCCAGAGAACTATAAACATCCAAACTTAGACACAAAGGGAAGGATGCAGGAGTTACTATTACTAAAAACTATGGAAAAGTATAAAAAAATTTTCCCTTTACCTTCTTTATATCTTCATGTTCATAAATGCTTGGTGCCAAGGCTAAAGCAAGTCTCTCATAAATGTCTGGTTTTCTGGAAAGTTCTTTAAGCAATTCCACTCGTTTTTCTGAAAAAAGTTTCTGTTCTGCCTCTTCATCGAGGCCATGCAGACGTTTTGCGTCTGTTTTACGATAGTGGATTACATCGATGTGTGTTTTGTAGACAGACTTCACATTACTCACTCTTGGATTGACTCGGATGGGAACAGCTCTGTAAATGCCTGAGGGCAGCAACCACAGACAGTGTGAAGGGCTTGGCAATAAGGGGCAGAACAAACAAGACTTCCTCTGGGGGAGTTGACAAGCACCAGCAGAGAGGAGCTGGGCACACTTCTTCAGGACACCCAGTCAGCAGCCTATTACCCCTTGGAAGACTGAGGGTTTTTTTCTCAAGAAGAGTGCCAGCAGGCAGGGCACAAAGAAGAAGAGTTTTTGGTGAGGGTGAACAGGTAACTCTTTTCACCAGTGACCACTACTGCTTAATCTGTGACACTGGGTTTTCCAAGCATCAGCATACTGCTGAGGGTTATAGAAATCACTTGGCTTCCAGCAGAAAGCTTAGCTCACTGGTGATGTTCATAAATATTATTTTTATTCCCCTAAAGTGAATAAGGAGCCCTGGTGGTAGAGTACTGGTAGCTATGTAAAAAGATGGGCAGTTAAAACCCGGTATGGAAGAGGACAGTTGGCCTCAGTCAAGATTATGGCCTTGGAACCAGATGGGGCAGCTATCTGTCCTACACCCTAGGAGTCAGAATGAAACAAGGACAATGGGTGTGGTTTAAGCTGGAAAAAAATTTTCTTAGTTCACTGAAATTTAACAAAATCCTAAAAACTCCAATCTTTAAAAAGAATTTTTTTTAAAGTTACCAACTATAGTCATTACTCTCACAAATCTCAACTTCTATACCAAAACTGCACTGGGTGAATGGGTGCCTGGACTGCCCATCAACACCAGGATGGACAGGCTGTGACCACCTGAGGAGCCTGGAGGCCCCCGCATCACTGTCAGCCCAGGAGTGGGTCTCTGCCTAAATAACACCTATTCTCAATCACTGAGGGATTGTCTCAGTGTCTACAGAGATCATGTTTCAGTAAGGTGCACAGAAACAGTGCATGTCAGCCCAAAGGGACAAGGATCTGAATCCTGGCTCCACATATCGCCATAAAAGTCAGGTTAGAACAGGTTCTCTGAATCTCAGCCTATTCCAACCAAAAATACAGCAAAACACCTTCCATGAGAGCAGGGTAACCTGTCTCAGTCTTCCTACATGAACACTGAAGCCCTTAGCTGACATTTGGAAATTAATGGAACTTAAGTTTCCATCTCCAGAGTGAATGAATCCATTAATTCCCTGAGCTGCTGGCATACTGCCTGCTAGTATCAGCGAGTCGATCAGCTTTCTCAGGACCCTTACCACCACCACTTCAAGATCTGCACGTAACCCTGAGATGAGCTCTGACACTCAAATTTGGAAAGCAAGGAAGGAGTGCACCCCACTGTCAATGCCTCTGGTAGGTGCATCCCATACACTTATAACCAATTGGAGGACTTACCAAAAAGTACAACCAAAAGCCAGACACACCTGATTGCATCAACACAAATTATAGCTCATACCTGTGATATTCACTCTGTCACCAGGCTGGACTTTGTCAACAAGATCATTGTGAGCAAAGAGAATGACCGTGTGAGGTGTTTGGCCTGCTGGCATGTCCTCAGGAGACTCCTGCAGTTTGATCTGACAGGGCAGAACAGAGGTGGTGGAACATGTTAGAAAGTGGTGGGCTACAGAGGCACCCACTCACTGAGGCCACGCCTTTTAATACTTGGCATATAGGTGTTAAACAACAACAATAACAAAATACTTGCTTTAATGCTTAGTTAACTTTAAAAAGTACTGATTTTTCATGTGACATAGGAGGACATTTTATAAGGCTTTAGCTTTTTAGAACATCTAGTTTTCGTTAATGGGAAAGATTTAGGTGAGTGCGTCTTTCATTTTCACTATTAAGGCTCAACATAAAGAAAACCAAAATCTTCACCAATCAACAGGGCAACATTATGATAAATGGCAAAAAGATTGAACCTGTCAAGGATTTAATTTTACTTGGATCCACAAACAGCAGGAATAATAGCAGTCAAAAAATCAAAAAATACAACTCGATCTTATAGATATTTATAGGCTAATGCACCCCCCAAAAGCACAATACACCTTCTTTTCCAATGTGCATGGAAGATTCTCCAGAATAGACCATATTCTAGGTCATAAGGCAAGCATCAACAAATTAAAAAACATAGAAATTATACAAAGTATCTT